GGGGGGGATAGACAGAACCACTGTCTTATTGGGGGGGTTCATCTGATGGGTAGGTCTAACTATTCTGACTACATTCTCACTGAGAAATAATGATCAGTTGATTAGTGCAACAAGCTTTTTTCTCCCCACCAAGTCAGAACGAATAGCACGACTGTGACAGACGCAGCCTCCCTGTGTCATGACCTGTCACTTTAAAAATGTTGCTTTTGAAATGCTGGTTCCTCAGGCAGCTCAAGAATTTAGCAGCAAAGCTGCTTCTCAGAGCATTTTTTTCCCTCTAAGGAAAGTCGGAGGCAAGGTATGAGACTAATCAGAAATAAAGAAAAAAATCAAAAGATTGGCTCTTTTTTCTGTCAAAAAAATCTCCCTTGAGGATCAGAAGCTGGCTGCAGTGGCTCTGCTCAGGCATTAAAGCACCTGCGCAACATGGGGGAAAAAGAGCCTTTTTTCACATGAATGCCAGTGGCCTTTCGCAGAAACTTTTTTAAACATCTTTCACAGCAATTAAATGCTTTTCTCTTTGATTAAGTTAATAGGCTGGTTAAAACCTGTCACTTTCTTCCCCTTCCACCATGCTGGAGGCTAATGAATCCCAGCAAATCCCACCGCCAGCGCAGGAAACACCCGCCGGGGTGATTGAACACGTTTGTGACGGCGCTCAGCCAGGGCCTCCATTGACCCTTGGGGCCGCAGTGTGAAGGGCCTCTCTTGGGCCGCGGGGGACCGCTTGCTCTGTCCAGCCGCCTTCAATAATGCCTGAATGTGTTCCCAGTTGGGGTGCCCCCCACCCCTAGCGAAGAGACCATTCAGTTCCCACAATGCTGGGGATTTGGGCCACGGTAATGAGATTTGATTTGTATGCTGCAAAGTCTTTTTTCTTTAAATCACTTTTCTCCTGCCTCTCCTCTCTTTTTTTGTGTCTGCATTTAACTCTGGTTTAACTGATGCTTCTCAAGTTGACACCAAACACGGGCAACCTCCTGGACACCTACATGGGAACAGAGGTTCTTTCTGTGATCCGTGTAGGTCCCTTGTCTCTTGCTGCTTCTGCCCTCCTGTGAGAGCGTCAGGGACATTGGAGAGCAGTTAAAGTAAGATGTCACGGGTGCTACCCTCAGTATCCCGTCAGCACGGCAGCTTGCCATGGTAATCAGGAAGAGTCATTAATGGATACACAGGCTGTCTGCTTTTGCTTCTTCCTCTGTTTCGTTGATAGCCACATCATTGCCTCATTGTCCTTTCTCTCTTTCCTGTAAGATGGTCACTCACCATGGGGAGTCAGGAACAAATAAATGGGCATTTGTTGATTGCTTTTACCATTTCATCCCTTATTCCTTCCTCTTTTCTATATTCCCTCATTGTCCACTTTGTGACACTTGTCAACTTTTTTGCTTCCCATTGTTTTCTTTTGCAGCCAGAATTTTCCTTTCTCTCATCCTAATTTTCCCCCTTTCCACTCTCTCTCTCTCTCTCTCTCTCTCTCTCTTTCTCTCTTTCTCTACTCGCCACCCCCAGTGCAATGGGCAGCCTCCCTGCATTGCTTGGCCCGCGGGCAGCAGATTGGCCAGGGTGGATGGATAGGCACGCCAATCATTATCCAGGCTGATCTTGGCCCATTTCTTCAGGACCGGTGACGGCTCTTTCAAACCGCGGCCCCAGTACCGGGAGGGAGCTGTCAAGGGAAGGGCTGGCAGACCTAGGCGGGTCACAGCTGTGGAGGGTGCTGTCGCCATGGGGACTGGGAGGGGTGACTGATCCAAGATGAGATCTGACCAGAACCAACAGAGCCGATTCATAACCAAGTGAAAGAGGATTTGAATGGAACTGGGCACATGTGCTGAGGCCAGGGGTATGGACCCCTGATACTATGGAGTACACAGATAATGCAATGCTCTTCTTGCCCATCCATCCATCCATCCATCCATCCTTTTGATTAACTTTTCATCCATTTGGGAGTTGTGGTGTTTTTCAAATTATTTAAATAGGAATTACACCGGCAGCATCATCTTTTTCAAGAACTGGAGGAAGAGGAGGCAGGAGGAGAGGCACCGAAGCTCTGTCACACACCATCAGCCTCCCCTTTTTCAAGAATAGGAGGAGGTGCGAAGGCGAGAGGGAGGCTGCAGGGGATGCAGCGGGTCCCTGTCAAACACTGTCAGCCTTCTGTCTTTTCAAGTTTCCTCATTCAAGCTCTTCAAGACCGACATCGGATCAGGTTGAAAGAGGGAGAAGAAAGGAGCTTATAAAAAAGAAGGTCATTCATTCCTCTAGTCCAAACACTTTCTTTGGTGGCTCGCCCTTCCTATGTGTTGAAACCAGTCCCCCTTAGATTTACGATGAAAGATGACAGGAGAGGTTGTCTCTTGGCCGAGGGCTCCAGCATGATCCAGCAGCTCTCATCCAGGTGCGGAGAGCCTGTATATTCCCCCTCCCCCCATCCCCACCTACTCATTTTGGTCCTGACCTGCCACAGTAATTGTTATTGAGCCCACATGGATTTGAAAAAACATCAGGGAGAGCTAATTGGCCGCAGTGCTGACCCCCAGTGAGATGATGTGACTCAGGAGTAAGGTGCATTGTATTTATGTGTCGTACACCGGTTTGGGGAGGGAGGCGCAGGTGGGCTCCTGTATGCCCCCGTCTCTGTGGGTGTACGTGTGTTTGCAGCATGGTGAAAAATTTCAGCCAGATCACCAAGCTTCAGTGAAAGAAACTTTTTGTATTCAACAAAGCACAGTATCAGATCAGTGTACTTTGTTCAGTTGAATTCAATTCACCTTCATTGTTATTATACAATGCCAATTGCAGAGCGGAGGATATGTTTGTGTAAACTCCAAGAGGCAGAGCAAGAAGGGGCAGACAATGAAAAACTGTTTGTGTGTTTTGTATAGCGATCAAACTTGAATGGGTCCAGATTAAGCTGAGCGGCATCTGTTGTTACATACAGACGGTTAGTGTTGCATTTTTTTCATCTCTCTGTCTGTCGGGATGCAGTGTGCTGAGATTCCTGGGCTGATCCCTCATTATCGAGGCAGCCACATGTGGCCGGGCTTTGAGACACGGGTTGGGCTGACATTGCTTCACCTGTTGACTGCTGTCCCAGCCTACTGCCTGTTCTCCTTTGGAGGGCATAACTGTCAAATTGACACAGGTGACTCAGAGGATTCCCCCCCCCCCCCCCCGGGACAGCAGTCAGGTGAGGGCAGGATGAATAGTTCTGCAGGTGTGAGCATGGTCGGCCAACAGATGGGGGCGTCACGCGGGCCGTCGTGGCAAGACGCGGCAGGGAGCTTCTCATGGGGGTTTACCTGGGAGGGGGCTTGCATATGTGTCTGAGTGTGCAGGAATAACTGTTTGATTGTACATATCTGGGTAAGTTGTGTATCAGTGTTTGAGGGCCTGTTCACAAATATCGACAATTGAGAATGTATTCGAATTAAACCATGTAAATATGTATGTGTTTGGGTAGCTGTTTATTAATGTGTGCAGATGGTCTATGAAATGAAATGAAATGGAATGGAATGAAACTATGCTTTATTTGCCATTTGAACAAGTACATTGAATTACTTCTTTTTGCATATCTCATCTTCCTTTGAGACATACACACACATATACAGTTGAGAGCAAAGTTTATGGTCTGAGCACAGGGTCAGGGCATTTATCCAGTGCCGCAGGGATATTTCGGGAGGTTAGGGGCCTTGATTTCGCCGGTATTTCACAGAAAGTCTTGGGACACTTGCTTAATTCTGTAAAAATGTCGCAAATTTATAGGTTTCATAAAAAAAGTCAATCGACAAGCAATATTTAATATTTCTGCACATATCCTCCACACAGACTGACTCATCCAGTTCTGTTCTTGCCATTTTGCTTTATTGCAGTAGTAGCTACTGGCTCCTAATGGGATGCTAAACACAAATGTTTGGTGTTTTATGTTAGTGCAAAGGCGTTACTAATTAAAAAGCACCCAATGAGACTGCTTGTCAATGGACATTTTAACTCTGAACAGCTCTTTTAGAAGCATAGTTTGGGTTTCAATTAATTGCTACTTGACATGAATGTTTTACTTAAAACTACTGATTGTCCCTAATGTTCTATATATTTTTATTTAAAAATGAATAAAGCAATGATTTTTGTTATGGAACCAATGAATTTGCAATATTTTTACTGAATTATTAAGCAAGAGTCCCGAGACTTTCTGTACGTATTGTATCTGTGTGTGTAAAAGTACGGCTTTTGTCCAATCGCCTTTCTCTGCTGTTGCTCAAAGCATGTATCAATGTGCTTAAAAAAATAAATTCAGCAATGAATTAAGTAAATGTAACAAGCTTTCAGACATCTTTCAAGTCTTTTATTTTGAAAAGTGTTCTAGGCTTTTCAGGGAGTGTGTTCATCAGACCTGAACATGTGGCTACATTGAAATAATTTTTGTTTGTTTTAAATGTTGTGTAAATGACAAGCCTTTACTGGATCCACACATGCCCCAGATACACCCTGCATGTTTATTATAGAGCGTTTTCCAATCACGCAATGACACAGTCCTATCATGCCCCGAGGGCCATTTTTCGTATATCCAATCATTTTGTTTTCTATTCTTCCTCGTACCTCTTTGTCAACCACCACCCAGTCTTTCATATTTCTTCTTCTTGCCAGTTCCTTCGCGTGGACCAGGACAGAGAGTGCAACATGGAGTGTTCCGGAGCAGCCCGGAAGCCCCTCTGTGCCTCAGATGGACGCACTTTCATGTCGCGCTGCGAGTTCCTCCGTGCCAAATGCCGTGACCCTCAGCTGGAGGTCATCCGGGGGCCCTGCAAAGGTCAGTGCGGCGTACTGTCCGGACTTTTGGGGATCGGAGCTATGACCTGGGGTTAATTTTCAAGGTAATTGATGTCTTAACTCGCCCACAGACAGTTTTGGCTTGGTGCTGATTCCCTGTCTTCACTTTTACATTTATATCTGTGAGCGCGAGGCTCTGAGGGGGGAGTGGCGGATGCAGCTCAGGGCCTTGGTAACGCGGCGTCTGCAGCACCCCTCTGCAGCGTCATGCCCATGATATGTCAACTTGGCCTTTTCCTTCCCAACATTTCCACAGAAAGGAATAGTCATAGTTGATGAATGCAGCCCTGGAAAACAGAAGGACGTTTTACACAGAGTATGGGAAACTCTGCCTTGCTAATAAATGTGTGAAAGACATTTTGAAAGTAGAAAAAAGTATTATTAGAGATGTTTCGCTACAAGGCGCTGTGAGTTGCTCCATCTGTAACCCCACAATCACTCAAGGAAGGAGAAGTCTTGAGCAGGAACATATCTGAGATTTCTTACATTTTTTTCATGTTTATTGCTTTGTTAATAGTCTCGTATAGTGAACAGTTTATTGGGACCCTGTAGAGATGATTTTTCACTCAATCTGATTCCTGCATTTAAAACACGTCCCTTACTTCCCAGCTGTTCTGTGGGCCTTTGGGTTTCCATGAGAGCACTTCTTACCATAAATACTACCCAGGATACAGTTAACTTTATATTCAGTTAGATCCTCCAAGCCACCTATAATGTGGCCAGCAATGTCAACCATATAACTGCAGAATTATGCACTATTAATGTGATAATTGTGTTCTTACTGTACAAAAAACTGGAGTCAGAGTGCAGGTTGGTGTAACATCAGTGGGTGGCATGTTTGGGGTGGGGAGGATCTCTTAGGACACGTTTGTATTATGAGACTGAGACCCTGGCATTGCAAACAGAGAGAGAACAGCACCCAGTGACTATTCCTGAAGCAGTAACACTGGGAGTCATTGTCATAAGCCCATCAGACAAGTACCCCCCCCCCCCCCACACACACACACACACCACCATTTGTTCATTTGAAATTCCCAGACTGTTTTGAGTCACCTTTGAGGCTCATCCCATTTCAGCATTAACAGAATGTTCCTTTAGTGGATAGATCATTCCTGGTTTTGTGTGGTAGTTTTTGGCAGATTTTAACTGTATTATTGTTTTTTATTTTAGTCTAGTTTAACTTACAGGATATTTAGCCAAATAAATCTAATTTAGATGTAGTTGCCGAAATCTACGGTACATGCAGTAAATGAAACGAATAGGTTTAGTCAAAGTCTAATACATCATTTTCACATTTCTTTGAAAATTGTACTTAATTTTCTGTGTACACGCACAGATTGGTCTCTCCTCTACAGATTCCTGAGGAAATATCTGTAAAGCTCTTCTTATGGCATTTGGTTTAGGTCTGAACATCTGGTCTTTAAGGACTCAATCATTAAATAAAATATAAATAAAAGCAAAATGTAGTCTCATATAAAATACTTGCATATGATGCATCTTCAATCATATTATAAGAAAAAGCACCAGTGCATGGAACTTGAATAAAGAAAACTCAAATGTCCTCTCAAAAAGTGTCAGACTATTGAAAACCAACTGGGTTGTGCTTATTTCTACATCCAGTTCATGACAGTGAACTTTTCAAACACATTAAAAGAAAAAGAAATATTTTTTTCCTTTCATTTAATGGAGTTATTTTTAAAGTTATTTTTATGTATTTTTATGCTATTGGTGTTTTTCCCCGTTATTGCTGTTCCACATGGCCTGCACAGAGTTTTCTTTCACGTTAAATATGAAATGTACCCATATGCCGGCATGTTTTTTCCTACCTAACACTGACTGTGGCACAGACTGGGCTTGGGCGGTATCTAATTTTTCATAGTCTATCATACCATCCAGACATTATATGGTATTATATGGTATTTTGACAGTATGTTCAAAACCTGCGCTATTCTGGTACTTTTAAAAATTGCCTCACAATGTTGTTTGTCGAATGGCAAAGGTTTCAGAATACCTTGGTATAATATATTACTGAATTACCACTCAAATTCAGCACATACACAATGGCATAAGAGGTTTCATAGAACTGCATGGTTCCTACTTGCCCGCTGGATGCATGGTTTACAGTTAGATCAACATTATCGAATCATGAACAACTATCTAAACACAAACTAAAGGTACTACTTCTGATTGAATCAGTTTCAGATTACTCTCTTCCTGTCAGTTGTCTCATTTTTATTCATTGTCAAAAATGTAGTTTTCGGCATCATAGATTTTTATTTGACTCGTCTCATTCTCGTCAATGAAAAATCTCCATTGACGAATCATTTCCATCATACTTTTGGTCAACAGAATTAACATTGATATTGCGCACATCTAAGGATGATGTGGCAGTGGCCTGTAAGGGGGTGATGTGACCCAGGTTCCTGGATGTAATCAGGCTGCTGACTTGCCTGGTGCTTCCACTCTGTGCCGCATCCTCTTCTCCCTCATGCCTCTCATCTCCGTTGCGCTCTGGGCCTCACAATGCTGTATTCTTCCATCTCTGAATACTAGATCACAGAGACTGAAGTCTTACAGGGGGGGGGGGGGGCAAACCTTCAGATGGTGAAGAACTTTCCAATTTCATGCCCTCTCTGAGCGCCATGGCAACAGCGTCTGCCCCAGACATCTGGATGCGTCGGGAGAATGGAGGCATCCAGCTGAGGGGTTCCGAAAGACAGATGGGAGCTGTGAGAGTCTCTTTGTGTCCCTCGATATCGAATTTGGCGTCGCCGGCCCCTTCTGGCAAAACAAAGGCGACCACTTGTGATCCCTCAGGGCCGGCAATAGCCTGAAGAGCGGCACAGGGAGGTATGCTGCAAAGTGATGGCGGGACGGCCTTCTCCTCCAGAGCAGATGATTCAGCGGACCTGTCAGTTTTTCCAGAGACTGAGTCCCCAGAAAGATGACGGCGGCTCCTCTTTTTCTTCCTGGGCTGTAACTATAGTCCACCTCCCCCCCCCCCAACCCCCAACCCCCCCCGCTCCCTAGCCCTGTTCTCTTTGCCCATTCAGCTCTGTCCAGCCTCCAGACCTCGTTTTGCACCGGTGACAGTTTGAAATAAAACAGCTCCCCACGGCATCGCGGCTTTGGGCGGGGATTTTGGGGATGAGAGGGAGTTGCCCCGATTGGTCTAATAAAACCAGCGCTTTAACAAATAGCATCGTACACAATCGCCATTTCAGACTCAGTCAAGGTGCCTGGGTGGTGTCCGTCACTCAGGGCTGTGTCTGAAGCCCCGGTCTCACCGCTTCCATACTGCATCTCCTGAGTCATGGCAACACCGCGTCTGGTGGAACAAGCAGAGGACAGAGGGATGACTGGCTTAAAAAACAGGAAGGGGGGAAAAAGTGTGATGCGTGCTGCAGTGGGGGTGTGGAGGAAGGGAGGAAGGTAGGGAGGGAAGGAGGGAGCGAAGGAGAGAGCGAGAGAGAGGTGGACGTTGTGTTCCCCCAGCTGTTTTTTCCTGTGTATCAGCTCTTTTTGGGGCCTAACTGGAGCTCCCTGCCTGAAACCCGCGAGCTGCCCTCAGCCGCTTAATGGTTTTACCACTTGGATCCGGGGCTGGTGGGGCTGGTGGGGCTGGTTAACAGGCAGTGGACTTAATAGGATGGGGATCTTGGTTCCCTTCCCAGACACCAGGGAATCCGCCACATCCGAAACATCTTGAATTATTCTTCCCCTTCCGTCCCTCTCTCCCACTCACAGAGCACTCAGCTGAATTAGGCTTCATATCATGCCCCCCCCCCACCACTTATCTCATGACTGCAGTATTGGGGTCTCTTGCAGAAACTTCCAGGTGTGTGGCCGAGAAGAAATACACAGAACAGCAGGCGAAGAAGGTATATCCCCAAGTGTTTGTGCCGGTCTGCAATCCCGACGGCACCTACAACGAGGTGAGTTTGGGGGGGGAGACAGTGGGCCAGCATTACACCGCAGAGCATTACTGGAACGTTACTTACTTCCCGGGGGGGGGGGACGGGACGGGAATGCTCTTAAAGTCATTTGTTTTCTTTGACTTTTTGTGCCAGTTGTGGTTTTTGGAGCAATTGTTTTACCATAAACCCTGTGTGCTTTGGCAATAATGTACAGAAGTCATGTCGTCTCAAAAAAAGCACTTTGATTTTGAGGGGGGGGGGGCTGCTGGGAGCAGGTTCAGCAGGTAACCCTCCCCCTATGCGTGGTAGATCAAATCTGCAGCATCTCCTTTCTTTCCCCCCTCCCACTGTTCCTTTTGCAGGTACAGTGCCACAGCTACACAGGTTACTGCTGGTGCGTCACGCCCAATGGTCGCCCCATCAGTGGATCAGCGGTAGCCAATAAGAAGCCGCGGTGCCAAGGTAGGCGATTCTGACAGGACAAGAGGGTTCTGTCCAGTCCTTGGGCAGTCAGCAGTTCTGCATTTCCTAGGAAAGGGTAAAGCACTCAGTGTGTCTCTGCCTGAGCTGTATGCTATATCCATTACAGCAGAAAAGGCCATTGGCATTAATAGTGTTGAATCTCATCCTAACATAACAGCAAATGACTCCAGGGTTTTTCTGATTGTTAAGTGTGATGGTGAATTTATATGTGGCGAGAGTATGCTTCAGAGAGTGTGGTGAACCATACTTAGGCAGTGTGTGTGTGTGTGTGTGTGTGTGTCTGTTTCTCTCCTACAAAGGTTTCTGCTCATTGTACCCAGAACCAATATTTTTTCAACAGCTATCACAAAGTCCCTAGTTCTGTATTTAATTTAGTCCCTTATTGTGTTTCCTTTTATCTGTTTTCGTTGGGTCTGGACGTGACGTTAGCCTGTGTGTTCTTCTGTGGTGTCCGGAGTTTATTTGTGTGTAGAGAGCCTTGTTCATATAAGCATTTTAGGTAACTCTGTGTGGTCTGTTGTTTTCATGTGTGTGTTCTTGTGCGCAGACAGGGCTACTCTGTGCCCATACGTGTTTGTAGGCTGTCCTTATTTTGTTTTTTTTTTTGGGGTTGCGATGAACAGACCCACTGCACAAACTATTGTACTTTAAACATCAGATGGTATTGAGATGCTTGGACTTCTATTTTGGCGATGCAAACAAGAATTGCACTCTGTAAGATTCTTGGAAATCGACGCTATAAGCTTAGCCTTGCTGGAAGCTTTTACCAGCTTGTTTAGCTTAGCAGACTTGCACTGTTCATGCAAATTGTCTTTTGTCTTAATGGAGCTGTAAAATATGCCTGTTGGGCTAATAATAATGATAATAATAGCAATAGTTTTTCTGACATTTTCAGATCAGAATTGAACTTGATCTTGGTTGAGATGGTTGTGGGTTCAAAACCCAAGAGAGAGACTGACTTTTGTGTTCTCGCACAAAGCCCTTAATCCAAGCTGCCACGGGATAACAAACTACTCTGTATAACGGAGCAACATGTAGAAATGTAAGCAATGTAAGTTCTCCTGGAGCTTTGCCTCGAACAATCAAGTAACCAAATCCACATGCTTCTAAATCTTTAGGGTGTATTAATAGTGAATGTGATCTCACTTACAAAGCAGTTGCTGGGGACAGTTCATGTCTGATTTCCATCCATCCATCAGCCTTTCGTTTGTTGAGCCGAATAGACCTCCACATTTATGGTAGACTGTCGGACCCAGAGAAGGGAATATTTTAACACGATTAGAATAATTGCTGCGCTATTTGCACGATTTACAAAAAGAAATTGACGGAGGATTCACAGAACATTTTGGGAAATTCTCAGAAATGTGACTCTGAACATTAATTAATGTATCACCATTTTCATGATTTTGCCTTCAAATTCAGCCTCTTTCACTTTCCAAATCCTTAGGCTTTGCATGAAATAGTTTCTTCTGAGAAATATGTGGCACATTTTTCCCAGAAGTCTTTATTATGACTATTAAATAATTATTAAATCACATTATTTGCGCTCTATTTAGTTATGGTTTATTTGACACAGAGAGTAAAATAGAAACATTGTAACAAAAGCGACATATTGGGTGAAGTCATGTGGGTTTTGGAAACCTAACACGGTGTGCTTTTTGTCGTTCTCAGGTTCGAAACATGAGAAGGTGAACACCAAGGAACCAGGCAAAGCAGGTAAATATTTTAGCAAAAAAGACTCATTTCGGTTCTCTGGGCTTGTTTTCGTAAGCATGGCCTGCTCTGTGTATGGCTGTCTGTGCATGTGCGTTTGTGTGGTTTCTTACCTGCTGGAGCTTGTTTCTCCAATATTTTGTCAATTGAAAAAGAGAGCAGACAATGGTTAAGCAAGCTATACGCATCTGAACAATGGACCAATGAAAGAAAGTCTCCTGTTAGTAACTAGATTACCCCTAATGCCACAAACTCTGAGTCCACCATACTGAGATGTGAGCTGCTCAATGAACGATTTAAATGTTATTATTATGCAGAAGTGTACAAATATGAGCTTTCTTTCCTGAGCATTTCTGCTATTTTTATATGTTTATAATTCTTATATTTAAATGTGACGTCTGATTTTTCTCCCTTAGATTAGGAGTATGATGTTGTTGCATCCTGCCCTCCTACTGTGCAAGATTTTCAGCTCCAGTAATTCCCAGAGGAATGTCATTCTTCAGAATAAAATTTTTGTTTCTCATCATTTTTTTTCCTACTGTATAGAATCTTCAGTGCTGCAACTGACTGAATATTTAGTTTGGTCTTTCTGTCACACTCACTCCTTTTTTCTCACTTTCAGGGAGCAGTTTTGGCCAAATAATCAATGTGGTATCTCGACCAGTATGAAATTCAGCTGTCGGTTGTACAGAAAATTACCCATCGATCAACTTTTTGGATGGCGCTTAAATGTCAGTTTAATCCTGGCAGGACCCTGAGCTTTGTCTTAAATGGATAGTGTAAACAGAGAAGAGAGTTGTAAACTGCGGGTTGCGGTTGGCCGATTTTGAAAAGGACCTTGAAAACATCAACAGTTTGGTTCAGTTTGGGGCCAATCAACACCCCCTTACCCTGGAATCCTACTTTGAGAAAACGACCCACACTGTAACCGCAGTTTAAACCAGACTCGCTAATCACTCTAATACAAGATTAACGTTACAATGACTAATTATGGGGGCATAACTCTGATTGAACTTTTTGGCTGCCTGTCTAAGCACCTATTGCTGAAAGTTATACAATGTGAATAGGAGTCACAAATCAGCATCCTGTAAGTCTGTCTGATTTGATGCGTTAAAATATTTCCATATCGTAACATCCTAAAACTGGGGAAAGGATACCTATTTTGAACCAGACCTCTGAGTTACTCAACCCTTGTTCTGTATAAGCAATTTTACTGCGAGTTGGCATGGAAACCAGAAACCACCTCGTTCCTCTAGGAGAAAAGTTGCCCTCCCTAGCATCTAAACGAGCAGGACATGACCTCTGTGAGGTTAACCAACCACAGCTTGGGGTTTATTTTAAACCGCTCCAACATCTTTCTCAATCTTTCCTCCAAGAAAACAAACACCACCAACCAAAACCTCCTCATTGTAATCATTTCATCTCAAACATGTGCAGCCTGGTGATTTACCCTTTGTTCCGTTGACTTCACATTCTTTTTCATTGGATTAACTCCGCTTCTATTCCCAAGTGGGACTTTGACAGCTGAGAATTCCCGTCTCAACCCACCTGTTAATTAATTCATTGCTCGTCATCACTTGAGATCTTATCTTTTCAGGTAGACTTCTTCTGCAGATTGTAGGTCTTTAGCAGATGTTTGGTCTTTCTTGGCTGTGTATTACAAGCAGCAAAAACGAACACAGTGTTAATGGCGTGGATTAATACACTTTAATGTTTTCAGATTCAACCACTATTCCACTGTTTACAACTATCCAGATGTTTTCTTGTTTCCTTTCCCTCTACATCTCCTCTTATTTGTCTTTCCTTGAATTTTTTTCCTCAGTCTGTTCCTTTACCTGCTCTCTCTTGGCCGGGCAATGTGCAAATCAATTGCTAACACCCAGATACTGGTGAATCTATCTTACTCTCATAATTGTAGTTTCCTTGCAAATCTTTTCCATTCTGAATGCAGATGAATCCACAGGAATTGTGGTGGAGCCACCACCCCCTACTGACGAGGAAGGTGAGGTTCCGTCAGTCAGCATTCTTATACCGCGGTTCTGCACGCTGGTGCATTTTCTCACATGTAAACTCTCTACTTCCTGTGATGTTTCTCATTTTCTGGGAAGCGCCCCCCCTTCCCCTTTGCCGGCTGTCGTTAAATGGCAATGCCTCAGTGATGAGTCAGGAGGCTCTAATTAAACCGCAAAGGCCCACAGTCCTCTATCACAGCGCCCATTTACACTGACACATGTTTATGTCGTTGCGAGAAATTGTCATACTACATCGCCTTTGCAAGGGTTTATTACTGAGTAATTATAATTATATTATTGGGTATTTATAACCATTGTTATAAATAGATTGTTAATTAATACTGAGGGTAGGGACAATGACTGTCCCATTGCTTTGTCTCTCTAAATGCGCTTAATGTCTCACATTTTTCACATCCAGATATCATCTCCCAGTATCCTACGCTCTGGACTGAACAGGTCCGGAGCCGGCAGAACAACAGGACCAGGACACAAGGTGGGTGTATTTCCGCGAGCTCATCCTGTCCGTCCGGAACATCGGCACAGAGGGCTGGTATTTTCCTCCAAGAATCAGGCCCAGCTGACTGTTTTCCTAGGCACCCTAGCATACCTTGTGCAAATGGACACTCAAAATAAAAATGTTATTTTTAAATGATTAATGTGACATGGGGAAGGTGTCCTGTTCACAACGGACTTGTCTGCTTATGACTGATTCTTTTTTGTTGAAACATGAATGCTATAATCTTGAGGTCTGGTCTTTTATAACTTTAAGGAGAGGCTGCAGTTACTTCCATTTCTGCGACTGATTTAGGACCCGAGAGGCTTGGTTAGATGCCCCGAATCACATTAAATGCAAACCATTGCATCCTGTCAGTCAGCGACCAGGGAGTCCCCCTGTTCACTAGAAAATGAAGAGTCTGCTGTGAATTGGGGTATTGCATAGCGATCGGCAAACTGTGTGGGGTGGGGGGGTTGCTGCTCATTGGAACCGGTGTCGATGCCCCCCCATCCCGAGTTACCGCAAAAGACCACACCACGCACTTTAATATGGCACATATTGATCTCATCACCAGGGTCGCTGAACCTATGATTTACCCGAAAACACTTTTTTTTTTTGGGGGGGGGGGGGGATTAGGGCTGGGGAGGGGGTCGCGTGAATTGCTGCACTGAGAAGCCGCCCTGATTTATAACCAATAAAAAGCAAGCGAGCGCCGAAGTCACTGGTTTTGATTACGCACATGCTCTCTGGTTATGCGGATGATGGTATTAAAAATGAGCCTCGCTCAGGAATCCCGCTGCCCACGGAAGATAAAACAGCCGAGCGGGCTGGGGTGCGGAGCGGCGGGGAGGGGACGGCGGGAGAGGGTAATTTCAGGGCCCCTTTTGTGTGGGTAGCACTGAAGTAATGAAAACAAATGAAACATTCGACATCCCATAGAATAAAGTTGCGAGCGGGAATGTGGGAATGTGGGATGATTTGTGAAAATTGCTTATCTTTTTTTGGTGTTCTTCTTGGCATCCCGCTTGTCAGCGGTGTGGTAAACTGGCTGCTTTGCAAAGGACCACAGCCGGAAGATCTCAGGCTTTATTCTGGGACTCCGTGGGCACTGTGCCGGAGCTTATAGTAAAATCCAGCACCACACATATGCTATATATTTTGTGATGGCGTTGACTACATCTGCCAGCATTGTCAAAAACAATTAAAATGGCAGCAGGTAGAGTGGTACATTCGTGGTTGGCAGTTTGAATGAAAGCTGTTGTACCTTAAAGTGAGATACACAATCTGAACTGATCTGGCAGTATACGCATTAAGTTTAAGGTGGAGAGAACAGACAGATTTTCTCTGCAGATTTACAGTTGTCGAGTATTTTAAGACTATATCAAACTATATTCTAAGACTTGAAACAGCCTCTGCAATGGTGATGCTAAGATGGGATTCTACAAAATCATGAGGAACAGTTTACTCTTGCTGCTGAAAAACGGATTAAAAAGACTGGGTGTGTTAATGTTCTTTGTTTCTCCATAGCAAAGATTAAAACTAATGCTGAAATAAAATGCTAATTTAAATGAATATTAAAAGCTAATGTCCTGTCAGTTTTCCTAATACGAGGAGAGGTTAGCGGAACTGAATCTGTT